ACCCCTGTGGTATGCTTAAATAATTTTAAGGTTCCTATGGTATTGATAATTACACTCACCCCTCTGAAACGTAGTTAGAAACTCTAACAGGATAATGCATTGGATACATTATTCCGATAGGGTTCTAATGGACTATTACTTTTAGCAAGTGGTGGAGATAACATAGAGTTATGGGGAGTTATGGGGTGACACGCCTCCCCCAATATTTCTTAAATCACCCATAACTCTTTGTTGTCTCCACCACTTCCTAAAACCAATAGTCCGTTAGAACTCCATCGTAATAACGTATCCAATGCATTATCCCATTAGAGTATATAACTATGTTTCAAGGGGGATGAGTGTAATTATCGATAGCACAGGGACCTTAAAGTTATTTAAGTATACCTCAGGGATGTGGGTGTAATTTACCCTATTTTATATATATCATATAAATAAATAAAATATAAAAAATAAAAATAATAATAATAATTCGTCCAAACAAGCCCTACCACCTATTATGTTGGGGCAACTAAATGAGAAAATTAACGAATACCTAATGCATTTACACCCAAAATTAATGGCCACTCAAATCAAACACCAATCAATTTCATTCCACATGTGAACGAAATAACTGCAAATTTGGGTTTTGCTCCGCTGCAACGCAGCCGCAAAGTAAAAACACCATTCATTCAAGCCGATGATGAAACACAGCGCCATCATCATCATGAACACTGAGGTAATAATATGCACAACTCGTTCGATTTCAAATTTACTGCTGTTCAATTCCGTCGAAACTCGAAACCCACTGTTTTTCAGCTCTTCAATTTCTCCGGTTTTTGGGGAATTGACAGGTGGCGGGTAGCGATGACGTGGAGCTCGTCTACACGCTGGACGAAGCAATTACAGTGGTAGGGTTTGGTAAATTTCAAGCCCTGGTGCTAACGTACGCAGGATTGGGGGCCATGGCCGAAGCTATGGAGGTGATGATTCTATCTTTTATAGGACCCTCTGTTAAATCTGAATGGGGGCTTTCATCTGGCCAAGAGAGTTTGCTCACCACTGTGGTTTTTGCCGGCATGCTCGTCGGAGCTTATTCGTGGGGCCTGTTAGCCGATAATTACGGAAGAAGGCAAGCCCCCCGATTTCTCGATAAACTTCTCGAAAAATAAAAATTGAATCTTTTTTCGACAGGATTCGGTGACTCGTTGTGATATGTTTTAATTGCTTTTTTTTTCGATGATTAGATTCGTGAAAGCGCATTTTTCCAGAGCTCGGTTGGTTTTGATTGAACCATCGTATTCTTATTGTATTCTTATTGCATGAAACGTACATTAAACAATTAGGCCTCGTTTGGTTGGAGAAATTAGCCGTGATTCATTAAATAATTCCACTCTATTTGTTGTTTGGTAAACCCAAAAACATTCCGGCTTAATCTTGCGTTTTCATTATATTATTTAATATTATCTTGACGAATCTTATCTTACGAACCAAACGAGGCCTTAATGGTTTAATTCCACTAGAAATACTAATTTGTATCAGAATTTGATCCTCAAATTTACGTGCTGAAAGATTTCGGTATTTCTCTTTTGTTTCTTGCACATTGTTTCTACGGAGTCTTCGATATCGAAGAACTACATTCTAACTTATTATGTTGTTATAATGTATGAGTTTTTTATCTAACATATTTTTTTTAATGGTTTTTTAGGATGGGACTTCTAAGTGTTGCTGTAGTAACAAGCTTATTTGCTTTACTCAGTGCCTTCTCCCCGAATTATATCTCGTTAGTCCTCTTTCGTATGGTAGCTGGCATTGGTCTTGGCGGTGGGCCCGTGTACTCGTCTTGGTTTCTCGAGTTTGTCCCTGTTCGTAATCGAGGATTTTGGATGGTTATCTTTTCCACCTTTTGGACAATTGGAACAATACTCGAGGCTTCGTTGGCTTGGGTATGTGATCTTAAAACACTTCACAAAAATAATTTCTTTTGTGATTTTTTACACTCATAAATACAAAAAAAAAAATCATTCTTTTATTGCAGTGTATGTCTATCTCGATTCTTTTTGCTCGTTTATTTGCTGGTTTTTTCCGATAACTACCTAGGAATGACTATGTTTATTATATATATGTATAATTTTAAAAATTATTATTCCTTATATATTTTGACAGATCATTATTCCGACACTCGGATGGAGGTGGCTGCTTGCACTATCATCGATACCGTGTTTCGCAGCGTTAATTTTCTATTTTCTTACATTAGAGTCTCCGAGGTATCTATACCTAAACGGCAGAATCTCAGACACGCACATTGTTTTGAAGAAAATGGCCGCCATTAACGGAACAGAGCTTCCACCTGGCACGCTCGTTTCCGATCGAAAGAACGAGGAATATACTCCATCGGAAAATACCCATTTGCTATCCACCAGAAAACACGAAACCGAAATTACTAAATCGCCCTTCTCGTCAATATTCACACTTTTATCGTCCAGTTTATTGAAAACAACCCTTCTCTCGTGGGCTGTCTATTTTGGGAATTCATTTTCGTATTACGGTATTGTTTTAATGACCTCGGAATTAAGCAGCGGCCAAAGTAAATGCTGGCCACATGCAAACGAGGCCGCGGATGATTCTAGCCTCTACAGAAACGTATTTATCACTAGCATTGCAGGTATACTGAATAATCGTAATTTCATCTTATTTTTAAGTTATTTTTTTAGGTTATCACTAATTCAATGTGTTATTTTTTTAGGTTATCACTAATTCAATGTATTTATATTTGTTTATAGAGCTACCCGGGCTGGTTTTATCGGCAGTTCTTGTGGACAAAGTCGGTCGGAGAATCTCGATGGTGATTATGTATTCACTCGGTTTCGTTTTTCTCTTGCCACTTATTTTTCACCAACACGAACTCATTACGACGTCTCTATTATTCGGGTCCCGCATGTTCATAATCGGGACCTACACAGTGGCTGGTATTTATTGTCCGGAGGTAAAAAAAAAAAAAAGAAAAAAACATTCGGCTAAAGTCACTGCGGTTCACCTTTTGATTCGGTCGTTTTAATTTCTCTCGTTTTTCTGAACAGTTATATCCGACGTCTGTGAGGACAACGGGAGTTGGTGTTGCGAGTGCTGTGGGGAGAATAGCGGGGATGATATGTCCACTTGTCGCCGTTGGATTGGTTTCGGGTTGCCATCAAATGGCTGCAGTGAGTTTGTTTGAGGTTGTAATAATTATGTCCGGAATTAGTGTGCTGTTCTTTCCAGTTGAAACTAAGGGGAGAAAGCTTAGTGATATTGTTGATGTAAATAATTAGATTTGGATTATAGTATTTTGTGGACAGTATAATTTTCAATTGTACTATTAAAAAATTTATTTGTACCATATATAATAAAAATATAAACACACACACATATACTTATATTATAATTGTTGAGGAGAAAATTGAAAAGAAAATTGAATTAGAATTATAATTAGAATTAGAATGCAAATGGAGTTATCAAATACTTGATATCTCTATACAACTAGTGAACTCCAACCACAAGTATCAAAAAATAATTATCGAACAATTTTATGATTATTTATACATTATTATTTTTTAATCCATTTTAAATAACCATACAAACCGATTTTTCTGGTAAACTATCTTCAAAATTAATATTAATCAAGTTTTTACCTTTTCAATAGAAAATAAAAAAGTTATATATAAGTAGAGATTATTTTTTTTCGTGGAACTTTGTTGAAGCTCTAGAGAAAGAAAAAAAAAATTGTTGAATACGTAGAGAATTTAATTTTATTATGTTGAGATTTTTTTTTCCAGTGGAAATTTGTTGAGGACGTAGATAATTTAATTTTATTCTGTTGAGATTTTTACGTAAAAGAAAACTCAATTATGTTGAGGTTTTTCTTTTTTTCACGTGCTCCTAGTTTTTAGGAGAATATTTGATAACTATTTATTTGGAATGTATTTTTACTTCCCGAAGGATGAGTTATTAAAATAGAACTCTATTTTAATAACCCCATTGGAGAAGAGAGTTTTTAAAATTGGGGAGTCAAATTGAGGTTAACGGATTTGATAACCCATTTAATAACCCGTTGGAGTTGCTCTAATACCTATATTATTAATTAATTATTGGGATAATGGCAAATAGGCCCATGACAAGGGCACTTAATTAAAAGAGGGACATCCAACTTTTTTGTCTTTCAAATAAATTCAGCACATTCAAACATATTTGCAAATAAAGAAAATCTTTTTATATATACCAAAATTACCCCCAATTCATTGAAACCCAATTTAACTCCAATTTCATGATTTACACCGCAATTTAGCCCAATTTCATCAATAACCAATTTTAACCATAATTTCAATTTTGACCCCAATTTTGACCCGCCACCACCGGAGACCGGCGTTGACTTTTATTTTTTTGAATTTTTTTTTTCCTGAATTTTTTTCCGGCCGGTGAACTGCCGTTGACCGCCGGGTCTCCGGCGTTGACTTTTTTTTTTTTTTTTTTTCTTAAAAAAAATATTTTAATTAATATTACTATCTTGGCTGCTAAATTACTGTCTCCGACAGTTATTTAACTGTCGGAGACAGTAATTTAACTGTTAATTGACTCTTTTGTTTTTTTTTTTCTTCTTCAAAAATATTTTAATTAATATTACTGTATTCGTTGTTAAATTATTGTCTCCAACAGTTATTCAACTGTCGAAGACAGTAATTTAACTGTTAATTGACTTTTTTATTCTTAAAAAAAATATTTTTAATTAATATTACTGTATTCGTTGCTAAATTACTGTCTCCGGCAGTTATTTAACTGTCGGAGACAGTAATTTAACTGTTAATTGATTTTTTCTTATTTTTTTTTCCTTAAGAAAAATTATTTTAATTAATATTACTGCCTTAGATGTTAAATTACTGTCTCCAACAGTAATTTAACTATCTTAGACGATAATATTAATAATATTACTGTTCGGAAGAATAATATTAATAATATTACTGTCACAAACAGTAATATTACTGTCTGAGACAGTAATTTAGTAGCCAAGACAGTAATATTAATTAAAATATTTTTTTTTCTATGAAAAACAATTCAAAAAAAAAAAAAAAGTCAACGCCGGAGATCGCCGGTCAACGGTGGTTGACCGGCCGGAAAAAAAATTCAGGAAAAGAAAAAGTTTCAAAAAAAAAAAAAAAAATCAACGCCGGAATCTGGCCGAAAAAAAAAACATTTCAGAAAAAAAATTATTTTCTGAAAAAAAAAAAGTTTTGGAGGTTAATGTGATATATTTGTTTAAATTCGGGGTCAACGTGTAATATTAAGGAAGTTAGAGTATAATGGGTGGAATTGATAAGAATTATATTATTGAGGGTATTTTAGACTAAAGACATGGGGATGAGCTTAATTGAGAGACTGTTTTTTTTTTTGGTCTAAAATGCATTTAAGTCTCATGTGATGGGTTTTTTTGCAATTTACCCTTAATTATTATTTTATTTTAGGTTACAAAAGTCGGAATTTTCCGATCAGAAAATTTTCTATTTCAAGATAAGTGTATTCATTTCAAATTTCGATTTTGCCCTTTTATTAATTACTAACCGAACAAATCGGAGACACTGGAGGAAAACAAACCCCCACTAATATGGCTTTTGAGATCCTACACCGGGTGAAATACACCGGGTAGATCTTTACCATTAATATACACACAAACACACACACACCCACATTGGTGTGTGTAGATCAACGGTGAAAAATCACCCGGTGTAATCTTCACCGGGTGTAGGATAGATAAAACCCACTAATATAACGACTTCCATTCAGTCAGTCAAACTAACTCCTCCCCCTTCCACCATCAACGGCGGTCCGGCGGCCACCGCAGGCTTCCGTATCGAACACCAGTTTCGTAAGATTTACGAATCCCCCACCTTTTTTTTGGTGAAGATTACGTTATCCTTTTATTTTAATATATCAAATGATGGGGTTAATTGCACAGACCCACTGCTAATTTTCTTAATTTCTATTATTGGAGTTTTAATTCCATTTTTTGTTTTTCAGATTAAAATGCAATTTTTTTGAAATGATCGCTTTTTTTTTTTTCCAAATAATTGTGTGGCATAAAATTGTTGATAAAGCATTCGTTTTCCCCTGTTTTCAGCCAATGGTTAGGTTATAGTTGCTCGTTAGCCTTTAATTTCTCGAAAAAAAAATCATTTGAAGTTTTTTTATGATTCAATTCAGTGATTTTCGAGTTCGTATGTAAACTTAACCGATAATCCAGATGGGAGATTCCGAAGGTATGTACACGGTGGATGAAGCACTATCGACCGTCGGATTCGGTAAATACCAAGCTCTCTTGCTTGCTTATGGAGGGCTGGGATGGATTGCCGAAGCTATGGAGCTAATGATTCTCTCTCTCATCGGATCATCCCTTCAATCCGAGTGGCTTCTCTCTCCTAGTCAGAAGAGCCTGATCTCGACCGTCGTCTTTGCCGGCATGTTAGTTGGAGCGTATCTTTGGGGCTTCGTTTCCGATACTTATGGACGCAAGTACGATATATATACATACACATATTCTATTTTTCGACCATTTTTAATTTCGTTTATTTCATGTATTCAGAAAGGGCATTTTAGGCGTGACTACCATTACATCTGTCGCCGGTCTATTAAGCGCTTTCTCTCCAAATTACGCCTCGTTAATAGTACTCCGTTGCGTAACCGGAGTTGGTCTCGGGGGTATGTATATATTCAACTCGTGGTTTTTGGAATTCGTCCCTACGCCAAACCGAGGTGTCTGGATGATTGTGTTCTCCAGTTTCTGGACAGTTGGCACAATACTCGAGGCTGCTCTCGCGTGGGTATTGTTATTTATAACTTATAACTTCATCTTCGTTACATATTTGAATTTCAGAGGCCCTAAGCATATTTAATTAATGTAAGCATATTTAATTAATGTTTGTTTCTTTTTTAACAGATTGTCGTGCCAAGTTTTGGCTGGAGATGGTTGCTCGCACTTTCTTCAGTACCTTCGTTTATCGTACTCGTCTTATATTGTCTTGCACCAGAGTCTCCGAGGTTTCTATGCGCGAAAGGGAGAATCAACGAGGCTCGTAATATTCTGGAAAAAGCAGCTTCGGTTAACAGAAAATTACTCCCGAGTGGAATACTTGTTTCGGATCAAAGGCAGGACGATTCAGAAAATACCTCTCTGCTATCTCCAAGAACGGATAACGCTAAATCCGGTTCCTCGTCATTGCTTATACTTTTTTCTCGAAAATTGATTAGAACTAATCTTCTACTGTGGTTGTTATTCTTCGGTAATACGTTTTCGTATTACGGCATTGTATTACTGACCTCTGAACTGAGCAGTGATCAGAGTAAATGTGGAGGAATCGCACTGCATTCGCAGAAAAGCCAGAATTCAAGCCTATATACAGACGTATTTGTTACCAGCTTGGCGGGTAATATGAATTATGAAAGACACGTGGTAAAAAAAAAAAGTTTCGACGTTATTTATTACTATCTTAATTAAGCTGATCGACTCCAATTTCTCTCTCCTTGTTCTATTTTTTTTCAGAGGTCCCTGGTCTTATCTTCTCGGCATTGATTGTGGACAGAGTGGGGCGGAAACTTTCCATGGTGACCATGTTCGTATTAGCTTCGGTGCTGCTTCTTCCACTTTCGACCAATCCTAACAAAGAGGTTTTGACCGTGGTTTCATCGTTCGGAGCTCGAGCGTTGTTCCAGCCCTTTTACTGTCGCCTGTAT